CCCCAAAACCCCAAAACCCCAAAACCCCAGATATTCCAATTTTTTAATTTTAGATATTTTAAGAATTTATATTAACCTTCATCTCATTTTATTATATTCTTAATATCAAGGTTCATCTTTAGGATCCCAATCAGTCTTGAACATAATATTCAACTAGTCAATGAGCTAGACTTCCTCCTCAGTTAGTGAGAAATCTCCGATTGAAATATTAGACAGCAAATGCTCCTTAGACGAAGCTTTTGGTATCACAATGAATCCTCTTTGAATTCCCCATCTCAATGCTATCTGATTTGCTGACTTGCCATATTTTTCAGCTAATTTTAGGACATTTTCATTTTTCATCAGTTTCTCATCAAAAGTTGCTAGGGGAGCGTAAGCTGTAAGAGCTATTCCATAATGCTAGCACGTTTTGATAGTCTCTTCATCGATGTAGAGAGGGTGAATCTCAATTTAATTAATGACAGGTTTTTCATCTCCAACTTAACTGAGCATTTGCTCGATATGTCTCGTAAGGAAGTTAGAAATTCCAAGACTCTTTACAAGTCCCTTTTATTTCATTTCGACCATACCTTTCCAGGTCTCGAGTCTCCCAATTTCACCTGCCTCACCACATATTGAAGTTGGCCAGTGAATGAGAGATAAGTCCAGATAACCACAATCAATTAGTTTAACTGAGGTTTCAATACTATCCTTTGCATTTTCATAGTCCATTCTCCAAGCAGCTATCTTCGAGGTAATCCATATGTCTTCTCTTTTAAGTCCATATTTCTCAAAACCTTTCTTCAAAGCAATACCCAGCATTTCCTCATTCTCATAGGACTCAGCAGAGTCAAAGTGTCTGTAGCCCACTTCTAGAGCTGCATCAATAGCTTTATCCATTGATTCTTGATCTGGGATTTTCCAGGTACCCATGCCAATTTGTGGTATAGATCTGCCATCTAGAAGAAGAACAGACTAATTATATATTGGAGAGTTTTCAGTGGAATTATTGGTTAAGTCTTCTTGCATATGGGGCAATTTAATGATAAAAATTATTTAATTTATAAAACTTAACCAACTATTCACATAAATCCTTTATTGCGGGGTTTTGGGGTTTTGGGGTTTTGGGG